TTTACTTTAGTCTATGCAAAAATAGTTCAAACACTGGAAAATAATTAAAAATTTCACACATCAGCGCATGAAAGCTGAATTCGAAACTTTGAAGAGTGAATATCTTTTCGTGATTCCTGAGTTAATAGTTTGACCGACAAAATTTTCACGAGGCGGTAGGTGATACTCAACAGCGAGAGAACGCTGAATTTGAATAGGCAAGGTTGAGCGTGGGCAGGAAGTTATTACCCTAAAATTTCAGCCTCCTAGACTCCGTGGTCCCTGAAATATTAATTTACCTTTAAAAAACTTTCACGGGGCCGTACTTGTTACCCGCGGGCAAGAAAAGGCTGAATTTAAATTTGCCGCGTTACCCGTTGGCGGGGAACACTGTACCAAAATTTCAGCAGCCTAGCTTTTGTGATTCCCGAGTTGAAAGTGCGGGACAGAATGTGGGGCACACACACAAACACACACACATACACACAAACACACACACGCACATACAACCCCGTGATCAATGCAACGCCCCCTTTCGCAATATTAAAGGGAGCTCGTGACAATATGCGTTTTGTAACAGTGCTACACAGCACAAAACGCATAATAACGGCTCTAGCAGCATACTGAGGCTAAAGGACAAAAGTTGTAGAAATTTTAAAGAATATTCCTGGCAAGAAGAATGGAAGAACGGGGCCCTGAAATTTTCTATGTGTAAACATATGCAGTTTGTTTGGCGCTACTGACGCACTATCGTGGAGAGGAACACAATCGAATTTTGACAATTAATGAAAACACATTGGAAGTGCCATTTAGATCTCCAAAATAAGCAAGCCTGTATGTGCAGTGACCTGGTAGCCTTTCTCTGTTTCATCCCTGAGCTGTAAACACAGACGGCAGAATCGATGCGAAATGGGGTGGGAATCATCAATACAACGCCCCCTTTCACGATGTTAAAGGGAGCTTGCTGATTACCTGAGGAAGATGAAGAGAAAGGCAAGAAAAAGAGGATGAATATAAAAGGAGAGTGTAGAAGGTAAGATGTTAGAGAGGTTAATAACTCATTCAACCTGGTTGCTGCAATCTGCTTATTTGCTGCAAAGGGTGAAGACAATGGGGAGAGTAGCCCGAATGGTACAATGCTGGTAGAGCACTAAAGGATCTCTCTTTCGAGGGTTCCTTAGAAGCAAGCTGATCGTGAATTTGACCCATCCCGGCTTGCGTCCAGTACCAATTATTCATTAAAATAGGCCGGATCATTAAAATTACCATCAAATAGAAAGGTATATTGAAATAGGAAGGAGAACCGAGGAAAAAATTAGAATTAAGAAATTAGTAAGAGTAGGAAAATTGTTTTAATAAAATTTGAGGCAATAACTTCATCTAAAGCCATTATCCCAAATAATCAGCATTCCTGATTCATCCTC